GTTTTCTTTACATTGAATTGTAATCCACTGAAGACTGAAATCCTTGATCTTCATCCTCAAGTGCTTCAAGTCCTCCCCACTTTCAGCAAGCAAGGGTAGGTCATCTGCATATCTCAGGTTGTCCAGTCGTGTGGCTCAGTGTAAAAGAGGAAGACCGTCAATGAGATGGATTGATATAGTGGTGGGAACACGAGGCTCAATCATAGCAACCATTGTGAAGATGGTGCAGGTCCAGGCAGGTTTGTTTTGCTACATATAGGATAGCTATGAATCAGAGCTAACTCCGTGGCACCTGATGATTACAACAACAATGACTGGCATCAGGAGATTTTCTAGGAGACCATCATTATCATTTTTTACTGACAACAGATCTGGTGCAAAGAGAGACGTGAAAGATGTAGAGCAGAGGTAGGGAATTGATTTTCTTCCAATGGCCACTTGAATCTTTATAACATTTGTGAGGCACACTGCTCAAGCATTTCATGAACTCACCCCAAAGGTGATGACTGGAACTGCTTCTCCTCAGTGAGGTGAGTGATGTTTCCTGGGACTGATGACTTTGTAGGCCTTGTACGTCCAGCGCACATGGCACTCCCTTCCCCTGGTGTCGAGGATGAATCTGGGAATATCACTACTGAGTTCAACAAACAGCAAGGCAGGTAATTTTATTGAAACATGATGTAAATGACTGAAACTATGAACAAGAATCAAGTGTTTTATTTTAATGTTAATTTCTTGCTTAGGGTACATCTTTAGAATTATTTTAAAATATATTGAAGAAAATCAACCTTCATAAAAATGTTATCAATATTTAGCATAACAATATAACAGTTTTACAGCAACATCAATTCCATCTACTTTTCCAACCTACAAACTAGGATGGACATACTGTAAACAGCTCTGGGTCTTTTCAGGACGGTAAGTCATTCTTACTCCAATGAGGTTTAATCATGAAGCTAATTAAGGATGATTCCCAAGCTGATTCTCTTAAAAATTCAAGGTGAGGGTTAATCAGAAGTGGTTTTCAATTGTCAGAACAAATACATACTCAGTCTTCTGATATATGGAACCTATAGGAGGTAGAAATCATTAAAGAAAATTTGAAGACTAATTAATAAAATACTGTATGATACTCATCCTTTTCAGAACTAATCATGGTGTTTGTTTGATTTTCATTGTCAACAGGAGTAAACATTCATGGAAGAAGAGAACCACACCTCTGTGACTGAGTTTGTTTTCCTGGGCCTCTCCCAGGATCCACTGACACAAGTCCTGCTCTTCTTCCTCTTTCTGATCATCTACCTGCTGACTGTGCTGGGAAACCTGCTCATCATTGTGCTCATTCACATAGACTCCAGACTCCACACACCCATGTACTTTTTCCTTAG